AAAAATGTGAGCATTCTACCTCACCCGGGTTCTTCAGACCCAGTATCCTCGGAAAACCCCACGCAGAGGTTTCTTAGTCACGGACTAATTACTTTGTCCTTAACTTTTGTATGAATCAATATCAGAAATCATTTCAGGGTAAAGAATTCTTTTCGGTAAATCTCATCAGACCCAAACTTTTACATAACAGTGATTGTGGATATAGCGTCAACTGGGGCTGGGATTGACTTCTTGACTGTTTGAATGACCAAAATCGATAACTTGAGACAGAGATAGAGATGGTAGACCAAGTAAACTAAATAAACATATGTACACAATTCTCATTAGTACAAGGTAATTAAGTAGGTAAGATGACGTCCAAATAACTAAGTAACGGTGTCCGTTGGCCAAGGTAGTAATATCGGCCGTATAAATCGTTTTTGGACACATAATTCCGGCTTTAGATGGTGAATGTACATAGCCTCGGCGATGGCTAAGAGCTGTTTGCGGAATCCTTGGGAGAAGTGTTCAGGTAATGAGTAAATGACTTTGAAGTCATTCTCCGAAGCTGTATGGCCACATTCAAGGAGGTGCGACATGATAGAGCTGTCTGAAGACCTCATTTCGCCTCTGTAAAACCATGCCGGGATGTGTTCACGAACCCTCTGAGATAGGCGTCTCGTCGTGCGACCCACGTATCGTGCACCACAGGAGCACGAGTACTGATAAATGATCATTGAACGGGTCAATGGCGGTAGTCTATCCTTCAAGGGTTTTGTAAGCAACGGCTTATTGTGAAAAACGATTCTCAGGCGGGCCGCGAAATAAGTTTTCTCGACAGCATCTTTCAGGCGTCTGGATAACATATCAGCTGCAGAATCGCCCTTAAAGGGTACATGTATGAAAAGCTCTTTCTTAGGAGCAATGCTCCTAGGTGGCTTTCGATTACGTTCCTTCAAATGTTTCATGATAAATTTATCCGGATAGCCATTTTCCCTGAGGGCGTCGCTGATTCTCTGTAGTTCTTCGTTGACGGTATCCGGTGTACAAATACTGCGCGCCCTGAAGGCGAGAGATCTGATTAAACTCCGCTTGTGCTGTAGTGGTACTGCGCTGTGGAAGTTAGTGTACTGCCCAGTCCATGTGTGCTTTCTGTGTACCTTTCTGCGGCATGATCCGTCTGAGTTACGGATAACTTCTACATCCAAGAAAGGTAACCGGTTTCCGAGTTCGTGTTCACAAGTGAAATGAAGATTCTTGTGTGCGTCATTGAAAGCTTTCAGCAACTGTTCCGCATGCTTTTCGGATTTGCAAAGTACGAAGGTGTCATCCACATACCGTACGTACATTTCAGTTTCACGGATGTGCGTTGCAAGTTGACCATGTTCCAGTTTCGCCATGAATATATCAGCCAGCAGCGGCCCCAAAGGAGATCCCATTGCCACTCCGTCAATCTGACGGTACATTTCACCATTGAAAGTGAACTGAACATTTAACGTGCAACGAAGTAACACCTCCTTTAGCAAAGTCTCCGGAAAAGTTGTGTATATGGGCAGTTGCCGAGCAAGCTCGCATACGTAATCCACGGTTTCGAGCAATGGAATGTTTGTGAACAACGACTGGGCATCGAATGATATCATCCTTTTGTTAACAAGGTTGCTTTCAGATATCCTCTCAATGAATTCGAACGTGTCTCTCACGCAGTAAGTACAAACCAAATTCCGTAACGGCTGCAGCTTCGCCACCATCCACTGGGCCAACAAATGCTGAGGAGTTGGTTTGTACTTACTGCGTGAGAGACACGTTCGAATTCATTGAGAGGATATCTGAAAGCAACCTTGTTAACAAAAGGATGATATCATTCGATGCCCAGTCGTTGTTCACAAACATTCCATTGCTCGAAACCGTGGATTACGTATGCGAGCTTGCTCGGCAACTGCCCATATACACAACTTTTCCGGAGACTTTGCTAAAGGAGGTGTTACTTCGTTGCACGTTAAATGTTCAGTTCACTTTTAATGGTGAAATGTACCGTCAGATTGACGGAGTGGCAATGGGATCTCCTTTGGAGCCGCTGCTGGCTGATATATTCATGGCGAAACTGGAACATGGTCAACTTGCAACGCACATCCGTGAAACTGAAATGTACGTACGGTATGTGGATGACACCTTCGTACTTTGCAAATCCGAAAAGCATGCGGAACAGTTGCTGAAAGCTTTCAATGACGCACACAAGAATCTTCATTTCACTTGTGAACACGAACTCGGAAACCGGTTACCTTTCTTGGATGTAGAAGTTATCCGTAACTCAGACGGATCATGCCGCAGAAAGGTACACAGAAAGCACACATGGACTGGGCAGTACACTTACTTCCACAGCGCAGTACCACTACAGCACAAGCGGAGTTTAATCAGATCTCTCGCCTTCAGGGCGCGCAGTATTTGTACACCGGATACCGTCAACGAAGAACTACAGAGAATCAGCGACGCCCTCAGGGAAAATGGCTATCCGGATAAATTTATCATGAAACATTTGAAGGAACGTAATCGAAAGCCACCTAGGAGCATTGCTCCTAAGAAAGAGCTTTTCATACATGTACCCTTTAAGGGCGATTCTGCAGCTGATATGTTATCCAGACGCCTGAAAGATGCTGTCGAGAAAACTTATTTCGCGGCCCGCCTGAGAATCGTTTTTCACAATAAGCCGTTGCTTACAAAACCCTTGAAGGATAGACTACCGCCATTGACCCGTTCAATGATCATTTATCAGTACTCGTGCTCCTGTGGTGCACGATACGTGGGTCGCACGACGAGACGCCTATCTCAGAGGGTTCGTGAACACATCCCGGCATGGTTTTACAGAGGCGAAATGAGGTCTTCAGACAGCTCTATCATGTCGCACCTCCTTGAATGTGGCCATACAGCTTCGGAGAATGACTTCAAAGTCATTTACTCATTACCTGAACACTTCTCCCAAGGATTCCGCAAACAGCTCTTAGCTATCGCCGAGGCTATGTACATTCACCATCTAAAGCCGGAATTATGTGTCCAAAAACGATTTATACGGCCGATATTACTACCTTGGCCAACGGACACCGTTACTTAGTTATTTGGACGTCATCTTACCTACTTAATTACCTTGTACTAATGAGAATTGTGTACATATGTTTATTTAGTTTACTTGGTCTACCATCTCTATCTCTGTCTCAAGTTATCGATTTTGGTCATTCAAACAGTCAAGAAGTCAATCCCAGCCCCAGTTGACGCTATATCCACAATCACTGTTATGTAAAAGTTTGGGTCTGATGAGATTTACCGAAAAGAATTCTTTACCCTGAAATGATTTCTGATATTGATTCATATTAATGAAATGGGAATCTTTGCTTTGCTGAAGATCAGCATTGCCCGTGATTCATTGAAACTCCTAAATGAGTATCTTAACTTTTGTGCAACTAGCCCTCTCCTTGGTTATTTGAGCGTTTCGTATGTACTTTTGCCGTTTTATTTATTTTTAATTACGCATGCTTACTAAATTTGATTTTCGGTTCACCCGAAGGTACTTAGTACTGCTAGTTTTGAGCTATATTATACATATCCAGATCCGCAGTCTTATTTAGAGTCTATAACACTTAGTATCCGTTTATTCATTCATTTTCCCTGCCGAATTTGCCAAGGAAGAATATACACCGTGTTTAGCATAGGTAGAAAACGGCTGGCACTCCAGAAGATCAAACAAAGCATCATATTCGCGATTGTACACGAGACACACCGGAGAAGACATGATCCGTTATTTTGCTGTTATCCTACCTACCGATGAAGGATTGTTGTGACTAGCCTAATTGTTCGCCATTGTTAATATTTCGCTCTACGAAGTTTTTAGTTTAATCAATACATCACCGATTGTTGGCTTCCAAGGTTAACTGTAACGTGAAATATGGCATACGTTCGCAATTTTTAATGCACTAGCTATTTACACCGCCTTATTAGGCGTTCCTTCTTGAACATTCGTGCTCTTAATTTTCGCTGAAGTCATTTCAAACCAATTCATTGTATATTCTGATATCCAGCGGGTGTGCTGTCAACAAAAATCCGATGCTCCCGGGGACGACCACCCAAAACACAGCGATCTTCACTGCTGTGGCATATGTGGACACAGAAAACACTTTCTCACCAGTCTTGTGCAATAACGAACGACGACAATGACACCGTGAAGCGACTAACCAACACCCTTTGTCATAAAGGAGTGCAAATCATCCCCGCATCCTAGCGGCACCAATGTATATCAAGCTGAATTTAATGACCATCGAGAATGCAACAGTACACGAAATGGATGTGGCAACATTCGGCACCTACAGAATGACCCGTAGCCAACAACTAAAAATCGACAAATACGGTACAGGTGCGCATGCGGAAGCCATAGCCCGCTTCGTGAGCACGGAATTTCCTACGGCATTAAATATGATACATGACCCGATGATCATCAAAAACCGGCATCATATATTTCTAACCTACGCTGATCAGGTTTCTGTACTGGGGCTCACTAAATGTAACTTATCCGACCTGAAATACGTTAAACCTTACACTTACATCGGGGTTACAATGTCATAAAACACCTCACACTAATAATGCACAATCATACTTACTCAAGCTGCCCCGGCCGATTTTTTGGATTTAATATGATTAATGTCTCAATGTTACGACAGGACATTTGTCAAATCTCAGGGAATTTACATAATGCTTAGGCTTTAGGTCATGTGTGAAATTGACGAAAAAATATGTGCATGGACCACGATTCGCAAGGAAGTAAGGGAACCAGCGCACTGTGGTGTTTGCGGGCGGACAACATCCAATATTCACCAGCTTCCCTTAGACATTCACTGCTCCGTTATAGACAGCTTCCGCCTTGAATGAAATCTCACTATCACAAACATTTTAGAGAATAAACCCGACTAGATGAAGAGAACGCAATACGGTCCGATCGTTGGGGGAAAAGTACCATGGATTTGCCGGCTAGATGCAGACGGCAACAGCATTCGTAGTCAACTGGCCTTGTAGCTGAGTCAAAATCCGCCAAATCGGAATCCAGCTAGATAATAATGGGTATGCCATTATATACACCAGATTTTGAAGTAAAGCGGTCACTTTGTTTCTGGTCATCCATTCCACGGTAAGGTGAATGAATTGGGAAGGTTGAAAACAACCCCAGAAAAAAGAAGTGCGTGTTATGGATGAGATGAGCGTTAATCGAGACAAGGACACGAAGGAACACCGCAACACTGTGATAAGGCGGAAAACGCAACGCCAGGTACCGATGTACAAGGTAACCAAGTTTCGTAGGAACAGCAACATAAGTGGAACTGAAAGATGCACAATGTGCCGACTGGAGGTGACTTCATAGGGGCAGATTTCAACCGATAATAAAAAATGGTATCAGTAAGGAAGAGGGTGCTCATACGAAGAGTGAGTAATATGCCATTGGATGCTGAAAGACACAAATTTGGCAAACAAATGCCACAGGAAACTTTACTCACAGAACCCACGCCAAAATGGTGTCAAATAAAGCCAACAAAATCGGGAAAGACAAAATCGTTGCCAGACGAGCGGAAGAGATCACCAGTGAACGTCCAAAGTTATTACAGCGAGAGTAGATGTCCGGGTCACGGAGACCATGAATGAGCCGGCCAACGCGAAGGTAACTGGGTCCGGAATGCCAACGGATAGCACGATCTACGCTAACAGTCACTAGCTCAAAGGAATTGCAGTGCAGTGGGGATTTATCAGAAAGTTGTGTGTCGCTTCCTGTGTGGGATTTTGAGGATACTGGTAAAAACGCCAAAGCGGTAACGAAAATGGGGTGGGCGTTGTCCATGGAGTAAACGCGAGTCAGTGAACGCTCCAAAAACGACAAGCTACAATAGAAGTGGATGATAATAATTCGATTCTGTCGAAATTATGAAGGAAAGATAAAAAGAAAATGCACATAAGACGAGAAATGGTGACAACGAGACGACGGACTCGGTTGTGCACAGTTGAGTCATTGTGTTCCCTGCAAAGCCGCGTTGGAGAATTAGTCGACCTGTATCCCGAAGGTGCGCTGTTAAGTAACAAGCGGATAAGTTACGAACTTTAAACTCGTCTATGAGAGGCAACAGTAGATTCCTGAAGTTGAAATATAGAGCGTAGAAGTACTATCGTTTGACGACCGCAACCATTACAGTAGTAAAGGGATTTATTGTATTTCTGAGAAAACTCGTTGCAGCCAGACTCAGCAAACAGAGATCACACATGCAGGAAAATATTACACGGTCGTTTTATCCTATTGAGACTCGTTAGTAGCGCGTATCCGCCGGATCCTCCTGGATCGAACCCAATGACCTTAACTTTCCGAGTCAGCGACTTATGCCACTGAGCCATGGGTGACGGTGACGGACCGCCATGAGTGATTTCTAAATGCGATATAGCGCAGCGCATCCTGTACTGTCATGTGTTGTATGAATGTGCAGAGGACAGAGCTGGTCCTGAGAACTACGACTACAGGTGGCAGCCATGTCCTCTGCATGTTTATAACGTCCATGACAGTGGAGGATGAACTGCTGCATTACATTACACTACTCGTGTATTTATTTATGACAAAGTGTATGTCGTCGTGCTATACGTCACACCTCTAATACCGTGAGACATAAGAATACTGCAATACTGTCCTGCGAATTACCTAACAAATGTGAAAAATCATCATTTGTACCCGCATATCCCTGGAGTCAATCACGAGCGTGCGAACGCAAGCAGTCGGAGCTCAGTTACAACGACCAGTAATTTTGAATGCGAGTGCCACCGATCGCGTGACTCTTCGAGAATTGTGATGGTTCGATGCATAAATATGAGCACTTAATGGGACAGAAGACTGGTGAGCAATGCAGTGAGAAAACCTGCTGCGCCCGTCATATAAAGTGAGAGAAAGTAAAATCACTGGCTCAAGGCAACATCTAAAAACACTTTATAACATTCAAGTAGGAGTGGAAAGCAGGCGTAAGACAGCAATTAACCTCCACGACAATAACAAAGTAATGAGTTGCTGGTGTGCTAAATAGAGATTGGGTTTTACCAGAAGCATGTGTATTCAACTCAACGAGTGTTAAAGTTTTTCAGATGAGCGAAAAGTATTCCAGGATGTAGACTATAAGAAGAAACACGGAGTAACAAAGCAAGAAATGGCGAACTCACAAATAGACATCCACACGGCCTTCCATGGTGCCAACACCAATCAGAGGACGTTGAGGATCTGGGTGCGAAGTTAAACACGCGGGTAAATGGCCTCTGGGTAAACGAACCTCTGTTAAGAGCGGCAAGTGAATTTCTCTTGCGTTGTCCGGCTGACAGATTATGGGAACGAGCCAAACCACTAGACGACTGACACTGCTGCGAGTAGCGCGAAGTGGTTGCACGGTCGTGGCGAGCACGTAAGCGGTATGGTCACCTTCGGCCTCCGGAAGGAAATTGCTTGCAACCGCACAAGTGGCTCTTAAAAATTGGCAATGTTTGAAGCGATAGCTGTCCCCTTCATTACTGGAGGACCCAGACGTCTGTAAATAATCGAAAAGCAAGGTGTTACTGCTACTGTGTTAGCGGGTCGATTCACTAAACAAACGCACGGTCTGGGCAGCAGAAATAAGGGCGGTGGGCGGAATAAATCGTGATAGTAACCGTGATTCTAAAATAGTAGTTCACATGAAACAAGAAGATGGACTTACGAATAAAGGAACCGACTCGTAAACAGTAAATATACAAATGGTCTGAGCAGTGAACGTCACGGGCAGCTCACAAAAACGGCACGTAAAACAAACATGACAAAGATGCGAAAGAAAATACTAAGTTCACAAATTTGAACAGAAGCATTTAGCGACAGCAATAGAATAAATAGGAAATCTGCAAAGTTATGGTAAAATTCGGCTGTCAGTTTGCAACTACCATATATTACCGAATATGAGCCCCTCCATGCATAGGCCGACAGTATAACTTGAAATATCAAATTGTCCAAAGTTGTAGGAACCCTAAATTAATAGACCCACAAAAAATCAGCAAAGAGAACAGAAATTGTCTTTCCAGGATTTTGACATCATCACTGCCTGCTCTCACTGGAGTGTTTTCAAGCGAAATCTGCTCTACTATTGGTCTGTTGTGGTGACTGTAAGATATAAGCGCTTTTGATTCGCTGCCTAAAAGAGCGTTAACGCGACGTCACATGATCTATGGTACCGTCCCTCACTTGCGGGTGGTGCTAAGGGGAGCTAGGGGCATATGTGTGCAGTGAATTCATGGGTGGATTTTGTGTGTGAATTTTTCAGATCGCGTATAACCTTTTTAGAAGCCGACCCACCACAACAGAAGTGAAAACTTGACCAAAATGCATCGGCTTATATTCAGTAATATACGGTATATGAAACACCGATAGTCTTTCGATTAAATTCGTAGAAAAGGAAAGCTACTCATTGTCAGCCTAACAATACACTTCTGTGAATTTGAAATTTACATTTCCGCTAGCGTCATCGGCTTTATTTGTGACTTCATTTAAAATCTCTTCCAGTAAGCAAATTTCTCACAGCATTTCTAACTCTTCCTTTGTTAGCCCGAACAAAAACTTCGCAAACCGGTCCAGCACGGCCTGTTCTGGTCTCCTTGGGCCACAGACCACTTGATGTGCATAAATCCGTCACCAGCACCAGGTCACCTGTCTTCAAGTTGCGTCTTTGTTCGTGCCACATTTGTCGTGTCTGCAGCGTGGGTAGGTAAGACCTCAGCCACCTCCAACTCATCCGCCAACTGCTGGACATGTCTCCACCGTATCGTAAGCCTATTCGGAATAACCGTCTGGGTTCTGTCAGCAGTTAAGGTTAGAAGTTAGCTCGACGTTATGGTCCCAAATTCAATAAGGATAACCGTGATTGGGTGTAAGAGGTCTCTGATTAAGGATACATTCGAACTCCAAAATGGTTGTGTAGTACTTCGTCACTAACAAACTGTTCTCCGAGTAACACACGGAGTATACGTTGCATGGATCGAATCAGAGGTTCCTAGACGTCTCCGCGGTGACTTCCAGACGCTGGGTTGAATATCCATTCGCAATTTCGTCCGCTCAGTGATCTGTGCAACTTGTCATGATCCCATGACTTAATCAGTGCTCTCAGCTCGTCTTCGGCACCCCGGAAATTAAGTTCGTTGTCGATGTAGATCCTTAAAAGTACCCCTCGTCGCGAAGCAAACCGCGAGAATGCGCACAAGACCGAGTCAGTATCCATAGCATGGGTGATTTCAATATAAACGGCATGTAAATAGACAGGCGCAACGTTTTTCCGTTCTCCGTCTTAACTAACAGTGGACCAAAGTAGTCGACCCCCAACTGCTGTGAATGCCGGTTGAAATACTAGAGAACGGTGCCATCTGTTGTCCGCACGGCTGAGTATACCGGATTTTACAACGTACGCTCCGCTCCAGAACTTTACGTACCGCTGAAGCGCCTCGTAGTAACTCGGAGTGTACGGAGTAGGGCCGACATGCCCGTTTTTCTCATAGCCTAAAATAATTAGATGGGTTATAAAATCCTGGAGAGGAAGCATTATCGGATGCTTGGTGTTGTATGACACTGGTGATCAGTTCACTCTTCCACCTACTCTTAACATGCCGTTGGTCAAGAATGGGCAGAGCCTGGTAAACTGACTGTCCAATCGCTTAAGGCATATTAGCGACTCGTTTGGGCGAATACTTTTCAATGCATGAACCTCGTCAGCAAAGAAATCCTGTTGAACAATTTTAAATAGTTGTACTTCAGCTTCAAACGTGTTTTGAATGTGCTAGTCACATGTCCACAGGACTTTTGCATCAGGTATTTCTTGAATTTGATTAGAATGGCGATACGCCGTTTGAAGACAATCCAACTGCTGCAATTAAAGAACATTTCTAGCCACGTCATCTCCGATACTGAGCAATGAACCCTAGACCGATTAGTAATGGTTGTCAATCGTTTTGGGCTATGCTTTGCTCCTGTGCCCGTTCTAAATATCAGTAAGACGCCAACTAAGTTGTTAACTAAGTCGGGTCCCTTCAATAGTTGTTAGTCCAAGGAAGTTCTTTGATAGGTGCGAAGGTAATCGAAGACAACACGTACTTTACCTGGCTTCTGGAATGCGTGACAGCGTGGTGAGGCTTGTACCACACTCCGTTTTCGTCATGAATGGTCCTGACTCCACCAATTCTGCGAACCCATTCGATATATACTCCTCAATGGCTGTCTCATACATCGGATGCAACACAGTAGTTGTAATTAGTTTTCTTTTCAGTGACATCAGTCGACGGTAAGCTACAAGATAACTGTTTGGCAGCTTCGGACATTCAAACTTCCATGATAAGGCAAGTTGATAGTGAGCACCAGACTTAGTGACAAAACCTTCCATCTGTTTCAGTGCACATTTGTCTTCGATGTGCATTCCAAATGCAAAGTGCTCAGTAAAATCCAGCTCGCACATCCGGCTGAGAAATGATGACGTACAATCGTCTACCGAAATGACGTTCGTGCTGACCGTCTGTGCATCTGATTCTCCAACCGGACCAAGCAGAATCCAGCCCAACAGTGTGCGCACTGCAAACGGTTCCGAAGGTCTTCCGTAACGCTGCTCTAACACCCAATGTGCATGACGAACGTTCACTCCTATTAAAATCCCTATTCGCTGACAGCGACTATCTGTGAGTCGCAGGTCTTTCGAGTGCGCGCAAGTCCGAAAATATTCTGCTGCTGGTATCACTCGTTTAAGGTGAGGCATTCTCTGAACAGAAAAAGCATGATCCACGAAAATCGACTCGCCTCCGTCCAGGGGTAGTCATGTGGCCCTCCGTGAAGCAAAAGTCAAAGTCTGGGCCTCGATCAGAAATCCTATTACTCATAGAACAGCAGCTCATTTTATATCTCGAGTCAATTAGAACCACTCACAGATGTAGAACAAATCTCCTTCCTATTGCATGCTTGGCCAGCGTTCGAACCTCGATCATGTTGATTTAAATCGATTGCCTACTATCCTTCAGTTCGCCTCTGCAGCAATCAACCAGCTTTCGGACTTTTGGCATCTAATCCTTACTCTCGACCGTTAGATAAACAAGTCGCATGCTCAGTGTGGCATCTCATCCCCATATTCTTCCTTTTTTCTTTTTTCGCAGTTCGTGTGTTGCAGTTGCCGTAGCCTCTTCCACTGCGCACGAGTTTTGATCTGCTTTGGGTTTGAATGGAAGCTGCACCGTGTTGTTGCCGAATTCTCTAGGGGTATTTACCTCAAGTAGCATTATATAAGGACCCTTATGCATCCTTCGGAATTTGATACGTCGATTCTTTGCCTTCTTGAAAACCTTCCCCACAGCCTTTCCTTTCGGAGGTATCATGAAGTTGTTCCATCCTTTGTGACAACTCCATGCTACACTGCACTCCGATGCAGTGTTTCTTGAACAGTGTACTCACAGTGGCACTTGAGTCAAGTCTCAACGGTACCTGGTCATTCTTGAATTGACGGTGTCGCAATACTTCATTCATGCTCATCGCGATCCCATCTGTTTTCTACTAAAATCTTTTGCTTATCGTACCGACTTTCAATATCAAGTGAGCCAACCTTAGCAGATCAGCAGTAGCGAGCGAAAAGGTTTGACCGGCCCACACAATAATTACCACCCACTCGATTATTTCTGAAGGATCCAGTTCTTGGTCATAATTGCAGAAGTCCCAGGTTTCTTATATCCGTCTCGCATCTTCGCCGATGCAGTACCTGAAGATCGCTAATTGATATGACCTCGGATATTCATCTAAGGCGATCAGCGTAGTGAAATCCATCCATTTCGCTTTCCACGCCCTCCAGCTATCTGGTAATGTGCTTTCTGTCATTTGTAGAGGATGCGGCAATGGAATCAACGTTTGTGCATCAAGCGCGGGCGGGGTTTGGTACGTCAGCACAACTGTCACCATGTCATGTGGCCCTCTGTGAAGCAAAATTCACAGTCTGGGCCTCGATCAGAAATCCTATTATTCATAGAACACAAGCTCTTTTTATATCTCGAGTCAATTAGAACCACTCACAGATGTAGAACAAATATCCCTCCTATTACATTCTTGGCCAGCGTTCGAGCTTCGATCATGTTGATCTAAATCGATTGTCTACTATCCTTAAGTTCGCCTCTGCAGAGATTGACCAGCATTCAGACTGTTGGCCCCAAATCCTTAAGCATGATCGTTCGATAAACAAGCGGCATACTCTGTTTGGCATCTTACTACCACAGGGGTAGCAACTCAAGTTTCACCGCCTACGAGCAAACACGAACTTCTCTATTTAGGGTGGATATCCTTACTATTGATGGATCTGATTGCAATCAAAGTTCTTGCAGCATTTGCTCGTCAAGCAGTGAGGTATTTGAGCCGGGGTCCAGCAAGGCGTTGGTTATTATAACTTCGCCTTTGCCAGAGATTTTCACGGGTACAACTCCCAAAGCTATTTCTTGGCTTGTAGAAGCCAACGCCTCATGCACTACGGCACATCATCGTTATTATACACCT